CCCTCAAAATGTACTCCTTTTTCATCAACAGAGGATACCCCAGCAGTGTTATTGAAAGGGCCCTTGCACGAGCCAAAAACATCCCTCGGATCATCAAGTAAATCAGGAACTCCCGCTGTAACAACTGCATTCCTTTGGTGCTTCCCTACCACCCCAACACACTTCCTATCCCCAGGACTATTAACGACAACTTATCCATCCAACAGGATGATCCCTCCATTGGGGCCCCCTTTCCTGACCGCCCCATCATCTCATATCGCCGACCACCTAATCTGTGCAACCTTCTTGTTCACAGCCCTCTTGACCGTCCTCAGCAACCACCCACACAATTTCCCTTGCAACAGAGCTCGCTGTATCACCTGTAAGTAAACATCCAACACCACACCCATTCAAGGCCCCTCAGGACAATTCCGGATCACCCAGATGGCATCTAGTACCTCCAGCAACCTTATTTACTGTATCTCTTGCAGTAAATGCCCAGTTTCTCTCTACATTGGAGAAACAGGAAGGAGACTTGGAGACCGCTTCAGAGAACACGTCAGGACTGTGAAGATTAAAGATCTCTCCAAGCCCATTGTTTCTCATTTCACCTCTGACGGCCACGACCACTCTAATCTCTCCGTCTGTGTTCTCAAAGATGGTTTTCCGAACTCATACATCAGAAAGACTACCGAAACCAAACTTATCCTGAAGCTAGGATCACACCTTCCCCCTTCTCTTAACGACAGACTACTATTCTACTAAATTTTCTCCATTCATTGGAAGTTTCATTTCACACCTCTCGACACCTATTCTGACTTCACACATCTTGATTGGCTTCTCTTTCTGTCCCCTGCTCCCGCCTCTAACCCCTCCTCCCTCCTCTAACCCCTCCTCCCTCCCAGCCTTTGTTCTCTCACTACATTACCTTTGCCTACTGCCTTGTCTCTCTCACACCTGAAGAAGGCTCCATGGCCGAAACGTTGTGTTTTCTCTCTTCTTTTCAGCATGGAATAAACCTATTACTTGTTTTCTTCCACACACATATATACCCACACACATATATTTTATACATAAAATACTCATGATTTTTGGAAGAAAAAAGTACGTTTCTGAAACATACTCTATTTTTGCATGTTAAAGACGGGCAATGTAATAAAATACAGATTAATCATCTTCCACCCAGATTTTACATGCATGCTAGATGTCCATTGTCTTCTCTCGACTACTGAGAATTTGAAAATACTAAAAATCACACATTTCGAAAAAATCTAAATCACATTTTAATGTGTATTTTAATAATAACAACAGCAAAACACACTTTAAGATTTATAGTTTATATAAAGATGGGTTACTTATTATCACCAAATTTCAGCATAATCATTATCATATTGTTGGTCAAGGAAAATAAGACATGAATAGATGTGTTAATGAACCTCTTGCTACGGATAGGTAGGAATGCTTACACTTATATTCTGAAATTGTTCCAATATAATTCCAGTAGCTTCTGCTGCAGAATGGTGTGATTACAGTTAACAGTAGGAGTTAGGACAATATATTCCTACTTTACATTAAAGATGTCACATACAACCAGATTATCAAACACCATAAACAATTCAAACATCACCACAAACTAATATAATTAAATAATATTGTTTAAAATATAAATATAACTTTATTATTTGGGAGTACGGAACAAGCTACCCAGCCATGTTGGTGAAGCTGATATTCTGGGTTCCTTGAAGAAATGGCTAGATAAGATCCTTGGATGACTTCAAATCCTTGAATTAACTACTCACTTATAAATGTGCTTTATAGGCCAATGGCCCCCTCTCGTTTTTAACCTCTCTTAGGTTCTAATCTTCTAGGACTAAAGGACACATTTCAGAATGTATTTTACATTTACATTTTCAAAAATATGAAAGAATACACCCTCTTATATACTCATCCCATGATATTTGTGTTAAGCACAAACTCACCTACCAACAGGGGTAGGAAACATCTGAGGTGCTCTCCCAGTAAGATACACATTTGCTGACCTTTTCAATTTCAACTTCAGAATGTTAAAACATAAAGAGGACCAGAGAGTGTTAAATCATACTAGATGATGGTTCTAAACTTTCTTGTAAGGTGTCTATTTGACCTTTAAATCAAATTAAATGTAAGATGTTTTGCAGTAATTATGTAAATATCATTCCTTGTTGGCTATCGGTATGTTCTCTGGACTGATTCCAGAGCAACATCTTTATTATAAAGTGGCAACCTAGATGAATGCAACATTCTATAAGAGGTCTTATTGCACTTTAACATTTTAACAGCAATTGTAACCTACAATTTATACGTCTTAACATTAAGTTTGCCTTTTTTATGTAATTCTTACTAATTTTCTAACCCAGGAGACAACCTTGATTCTTTCATGCCAGTAAGGGACTTAGTACTTTCCAACAAATTAAATATTGAATTGATCCTTAATTGCTTAATTAACCTGGGTGTCCAAGTTAGCTACCCCCTTGTTTAGAACATTAAAATAATGCTTTAGGATAAACACCTCAGGCTTTATCATACTTAGCTTCTTTATAAAATGTTTACCATCTTATATTTGTAGGTTATGTTTCTGCTTCCAGTGTGTAAATCTCGGTACACTCATTAAAATTATGTGTCATCTGTTATGATCAGTGACCAGTCTTGAATATTTTTCTGTATCTTTATGAATATCCTTTGCCGGTTCTACAGTTGTAATAATCTTACTGTTTTGGGATAACTTGACTAGTGTACCTGCTTCATAATTCCAGATAACTGACAGTAATTAAGAAGAGAAGTGGTTGAACTACAGATCCCTGTGCACTTACACAGGCACTCTATGCTCTCTATACATAACCAGTTCTGTACTACCTTGAATGCCTACCACCTGCAATTTGAGAATTAATCCTTAAAATTATCAAAAGGCTTCTGAAAATTACTATTGTATGCTCCATACTGCTAATGGAAGTTAGTTGAAAAGATCTGCGCTTTCTAAAACAACATTGACTATCCTCTAGAAACCTAATGCTATACAGATGATTCTCTCTGTCTGATTGTTTTTTTCTATAACCTTATAATATAATAGAAATAAGATATCTTCATCTTGAATTATTTGGCAATAGAATATGATATAGTTAACTTATTGCTACAGAAAAAATATAAATAACAATATAATTGAATAAAAGATATCATTGAAATCATATGAACAGGCTAATGAGAAAAACACACAACTGAATACCCAGCTGGGTGAGACAAGGTTAACAAGGGTAATGCTTAAGGGAGGCAAGAGCTGTGGAGTAGCCATAAAAAGTGTCCTCTCCTGCATTTTTTCAGGGCAGAGCAGACTTATCCATTTATATATATATCAATTTATGCTTATTCTCCTCTTCATTGTTGGATTTAAAAAAGACTATTATGGTGTTTGGCCACCATAATAGTCTGATTATTTTGATAACCATCTGATTGACATTGCCCACTGATAAAAATGTTCATAGAACCATCAAAATTTGCTTTGCTTTATCTCATACAGACTCACTTACCTTTCCGGTCAAAGGGCTTGCCAGCATGCATGACAGCTGACACCCTGCGCCAACAACTTACATACCTTTCCATGAATCAACTGAGGAAAACATGCAAAACAGAGCCAATTTAAGGAAAAATCAAGAAAAGGCCTGAATATATTCCTCAATGACATCCTGAATCTATAGCACACAGGGCTCCTTCAAAAGGCTGATACATTACTCCCCTCCCAATGGCACTTACTCGTCATATTTGATATGATAAGTAACATCCTCCTCACTGTTCAAGCAGTCCATGTAAGATGTGGAAGGTGCAGTGTCCAAGTTAAACGCAGAGTTTCCATTACTGTTTCCATTACTGCCATGGGAAGAATGGTTTTGGTCCAGCTTGCCATTAGTCCTTTTGCTCATCTTCCCACTTTTGCCTGTGGCCTTGCCATTTTGTCCTTTTGTGGCTCTGGTCACGTTCTCTATACTTGCTTCAAACCAGGCGCCTATACTAACATCCCTGCAGTCCACGAGCTCATTTATCTGCAAGAAACAAAAAAGTCCTGTGTTAAAACCACTGCTTTTAAACTCCACACATGTTTCAAAGACCCTCTGTCAATTATACCCTAACAAAAAAACTTGCCCATTTTACTGGGAAAAGCCAGTAAAAATGTCTGATTACTTTAATTTGTTATCACCTTAACATTTTTTTACACAAGGGGATCCAATTATTTGGTTTTGACTTATGTTCTCCTTTGTAACTCAAAGGTACAAACTAATTCTTTATTGTCACTCATTCTGAGCAGTAGGCACACAAGGTATAAAAAAATGAGCATTATTAAAATATTATTCCTATCATTGTTTCTATGACTCCATTTCCTTACTGGAAGACAGTAATTAAATAATAAAATGACATTTATATATGGATTACATCCAAAAAGGATACAAAACATGCAAGACAGGGGTAATACCAATTAACCCAACCTGAAACTGGATGAAAAACTATATATACCAAAAACATATAAGAAGCTATACCAAAAAATATGTACTCATGAAAAATAGAAACGCAAAATTTTCTGGAATGAGAATACTATAGTTGCAGCTTATGTAAGTTGTCAATTTGTTTTAAGCCCTCTGACCAGCAATACAGCTTGTGCAGTGAGGCATTGCAACTTGCCAATCACATGAAAGCTCATTAGGTGCTCTTTTACCCAACGAAGTCCAGGTGGAACAATGCCTGATCAGGTCACCTTTAAAAAGGCCTTAATTCAAAGCTTAGGTCACTCCAAGAAAAAGGCCAAGTTTAGTCAGTTTTCTTTGCATTCCATAATGCTTTGAATGTCACCAGAAACAAGGGAGAGGGCCATTGGCATGCTGCAGGCATGTGCCAGCGTTGCCAGACACTATGGAGTTAGCCACTCTATTGTGTCCTGACTGAAGGGAAGGTTTCAGCAGACCGGCAGGAATGATGACTGTCCAAGAGCATCTAAATAAGCAACAGAGGAATGAACAGAAGAAGAACCTACAAAATGGTATGTTCAAATTTACAGAAGGATTTTGATAAAGTTCTTATGAAAAATTAATTCCCAAACAGCAACTGATAGTTGAATCTTATGCAAGTATTTAAATTGAGAAATTGTTAATAGATGGTAATTGGAGAGTACAGCTAAGGGATGAATACTCAAACTGGTTATGATCTAATCAGTGGAATACCTCAGGGAACCATATTAGGCTGATTTATTTCATCAAACTAATTTATTTATCTTATTACTGTATCTGATACCAATTCTCTATATTCTAGTATAGTTAAGTAAACTATTGAGGTTTGCAGACAATACTAAAACAGAATGATTACCAAACATAGCAGAAGATTTAGACAAAATTCAAGACTTGGAAAATAAATTACAGATGTCAGGTACTGTAGACAAGTTCAAACTATAATTATAAGATTGAAAAAGCTGGGTTTGGAAGAATAAAAAAGATTAAGATGTTCATTGTTGGTACATCATTTACATTTACATTTACTAGATAACATGGGAAAGCAATACACTGTTAAATTGACCAAATTGTACGACATATGATTAAAATAGTAAAATATACACTAACTAAAAGGATGTCATGTTAACATTTTATCAGATCTCATTTTAAATATTGTGACAATGTAGGTCTCCAATTTTCAAAAAACATTTGGAATCAGTCCAAAGAAGAGGCATCAAGTACATTCTTTTTTATCAAATCATATTTGTGGCAATAACAATCTAATCAAAATCCTGTTTTTCCTGAAGAAATCCTGTTTTTCCTACACCATACTGTCCCATCCTTAGCACCACTCAGGTGTTATAACTCATTCACTGCCCCTTCACTTTACCCTTTATCCCAGCAGGAGGCATTGCCCAGCAATGGATGGCCCCAAGAATCCCCATTTGGTGGCAGCATTTAGGGGCATAGGTCAGTGTGGAACCTAGTAATGGACATGTCAAGAAAGGAGAAAGGGTTCTAGACCCAGGAAATGACATTATTAAGTGTAACAATGTGAGGGTGGGAGGAGCAGCAGAAAGCACTGGTAAAAAGTCAACGCCCTGACTGAGGGATGGAGGCACCAGTGTGAGGTTAGCAGGGACCAAAAATAACAGAAGAGGAAAAACAAGAACAAAATGGGAAAATAAAAATGCACCGCTGTGCACCACGACATCCAGGCTGAGCTTACCCTATTTAACAGGATCCAGCCTGGGAAAAAAAAAACGCTTAGCACAGCAGTAACCAGACTGGACCCTGTTAAATAGTGCAAGAGACGTAAAGCCAAAACAAAACAAAAACTCAATGTATGAAAAAGGTCAGCCTGCCCACGTAAAGATACATGACAGGACAGGCAAAAAGAAAAAGAAAATCAGATGAAGAAAAACAACAGCCATACGCTCAGGTACAATCCGTTCTTGGACTGCCGGTAGAAGTTCCTGCCCTTCTGGGGGTAGCCCTGACCGTCTGTTTGGGAGGAATTTAGTGTTTTGAAGAGCCTTAACAGCTGTGGCTCGTCTTTAGGCAGGCAGTACAGCTGCGGCTGCTAGGGCAACGCATCGCCCTTCATTTGGGTCTCCAATCTACACTGAACACACCTCTGCGTACTGCCTCATGTGGGTGATTGTGATATCTGACTATTTTTATGGTTAGCAGTAATGCCAAACAGCTAGCCAAACATTTTATCCAGAATAATAACAGTTGATAAAATAAAAAATGAGTTGATGAGACCCACTCACAAAACATGGACATCTGAACACTCCAACATGTTAAACATATAGTTAAAAGCATAGAATTTAAATCAAGGGATTTTGTGTTACAACTGTAAAATGCACTCTAAAAAGGCCTCACAGACATCTTTAGGATTAACACTGAAATACAAAAGAGAACAAGAGGAACTTTTTAACACAAAGGATTGTGGGAGACTACTGATAACCTGGCTTTCAGAATTCAGAAGGTCAAATTACCTCTTCAAGTTTGCAACCTTCCTATGTACTTAGAGCAAATGCATATGTTATGTCTGCAGAATAAAAAAAAAATCAACACAAATCTTTCTAGATAAGAAATATTTCTGACATTGCATGGGTTTACAACAGGTGAAAAATCTGAAGACAACAGATGGAGTATATACAGTAGCTTCACAGCTGCAGACAGCAAAGTACTATGTATTTTATTTCAATTTACAAAGGAGCAAGTAAACAACTGTCCTCAGGGCCTCTGAGCATTCTACTGGTCTTTTGACCAGGTAAAGACAAGCTCTGCAATACAAAGAAATTTCAGAACATTTTTAAGGATGTGAAAAAGCAAGGGAAGAAAAACATAGTAGCTACATTTTCCTCAGTCTGATTATTGAAAGAGCACAGAAGTTAATATACTACACCATTAGTTACAGGGTATACGGCCACCTGCCTGACATTTTAGACACTATTTTAAATTACTGCCTATATCAAGGAATTTGTATAAATTTAGGGTTTGCAGTGATTGTCAGGCATACTTCCCACTTTTAATCTTAGATGGCACAGAAACTAAGCCAATGCAATTTGTCGCAGTCCAATGACTAGAGAGGAACCAGAGCAAGCAATTTCCCACACTGATTAAATCAACACACACAGGATAACCAGGAACACAACTAACAGGCAGACACTGTGGAGAAAACGCACATTCAGAGTCATATTCATAATGCATAACTGCGTTTGTAGTATGCAAACATTAGCAACCCTTAAAATGAAATGGAGTTCTTTTTAGCAAACGCAAGGTTTCATGGGACTTGTATTCACCCTTATTATACTTGTTGCAATGTCGGTCTTCACAAGTAGCACACACTACAATACTAAAAAATAGAACAAAAAAAGAACAGCTGTCTTGTATTATTTTATCTTTTTATACAATACGTGCTGTCACAAAAGAGGTACATTTCACAATATGCTATTAAAGGCTCTGGAAGGCAATTGAAAATAACTGCAAGTATGTTCATTATTGGGAATGAGAACATGTGTACAATGATCTCTTCTGATCTAATGAACTGAAATTGTGAACAACACATACACCCACACTATCATATGATGTACATAGAAACATACGTCCTTAAACAAGACATTATAAATAGATCAACTGCAAAAAATTCCTAAATGAATTGTTATATATATATAAACTTAAAACACATTAAAATTAACATTTATACAACCCTCCACAAACCCTAATACACTTGAAATAATGCACATTAAATAATGCATGCATTTTTTCAACAGAAATAAATTAAAACAAACCAAAGAAACAAACCAAGAAAAGTCCCATATGGACTCCAAAAACCATTAAGGTTTAAGCAATGGGACCAACAATTATGGTGTTCACTGCTTGTTTTCTCTTTTATGATTTTCCAGTTGATTTAGATTTTACATAACTAAAAGAATATGAGTTATAACACACTGTACCCCAAATATCAGTAATAAAAACACTGTAAACATGAGGGTGTTTAATCATCTCCTGTCCTAAATAGGATTTCTGTTTTAAAATGAAGGTAAGAAAAATGACCAGCTTTACAGTAGAAAAAATAATTATGTAAGGTAAGATATCTTTAATACACTAGTTTATTATCTGTTTCTATTTATTTCTAAGCACTCCTCCTATCAATCTGCCACTCTGGCTTGTGTGGCTACTCTGCATCTCCATTGTTAAATATGTCTGTGAAAAACTGTGGGAATGTGACTTTTTCCAGACGCAGGCAAAAATATAATTTAGTATTATTATTGCCTTATCCTGAAGTAAATTCGACTATTTAAGAAGATATATGTATATGTTACTATACTACTATGAGTTTAAAAAACAAATCACAATGCTATTAAACTCATTTATTCCTCTGTATTGGAAAGTCCTTGAAACTCCTTGCTGTCTTGAGCCCACTACCTGTCAGCATTAAATTATACTGTATGTGCACACTGTGTTTCAACCAGGTAGTATGTATTAGCAGTGATCTTTTAACAGGCAGGTCCTAGGAAAACCAGACCCAGAGGTAAAAAGAGTATTATTTT